CGTAAGTTATTTGATGAAGGATAATTGTCAATGACTTAATGTTACTGTTTTGATCAATAACACAAGTGGGGACAACCAAATGTATTAGAACTCAAAATTACAGAATCTCTTAGTATAATCTGAGAACCATATAGTAAATACTTCGTTTACAAAATACCTATCAACTGTCTCAGACTTTATTGTTACTTCATTTCGATACCGATCACTCTTTGTTCCCGTTCTCTTCTCATCTATATTCTTAACCTTCTACCACTAGGCATTCCACTTTCGATGGGTAATACATACTACTTATATCTGTTGACATCAGCAGCACACACCACAACATGTTCTGAGGTTATCTGATTATGATACGGATATGCATACTTCTAATACGCGAGCTCAACTTCATACGTAAGCGAGGTGACTCAGAATTAAGAGTGAGCTGTAATCGGCAAATCAAATTATGATATATAGAACTGATATAGATAAATAATGTCATAAATAGCTTCATCCAGTAGCGTTTTTAGTTTGTTATCTCTCGCTCAGTAAGTGGACTTGTGACTGGATATGAGTACAATCACCCTCCATGTCTGGCTTCACTCAACCTATCATTAGGTTTCAAACTGCGTATATGCACGATGCTAAATAGAACTATGAATCCAGGACAAATTTTGGATATTGTGATGACCTCAACTCCATTAAGTCTTTTGATTTATGTTCTATTTATTCCACATTTTCGAACTTTAATTAGTTCACAATGTGGCGTAGCACTGGTTGGTAATGTTATTGCTGAGTGCTTGTTATATAACCTGATAAAATCTGGTACTTGGAATAAGGAGAAAGTGCAATTTGGACAGCTTACTCTTTGAAAAACGATAAAAAAATAATTCAGTAAATTAATGGAACAAAACGTTGGACGATAAATATCACAGTGAATAAAAATGACTTCACGTCTTCTTACTCATTTGAACACCTTCATCTTTTCAATTAGATACCCATGATTATGTTCTTTGCACGAGTTCTGACTTTTTCGGTCATTTGTTTCTTTATAAATGCAAATATTTAACACAAGCAAATAATGAGTTAATATCACTTGAAATTAAATGACCATAAGATACTACTGTTGTGGACGCTACTCAGAGGGATGTTTGTGAATAGTGTGTAGAGGAACGTGGTTTCGAAGTTGCAACAATCGTCAGACAGAGTGAAGAGTTTCAGTACACTGAAAGCACGGAGTTGGCAGAACACATGGAGGCCAGTCAAGAAGACACTTCAGATTACAAAAAAACACCGGAAGATGCACATGGAAGATTGGAAGCTATGTATATGCATTATGTAGATACTTTGTAACTTTTTGTTATGACCTTGGTTTGTCTACCCACTTTTGGTGCCGAAGATACTTGTCTAATCTAGATTTCGACCTTGATCCGATAGGCTGATCGGCTTAACCTTGAGACTAGTACGCGTGAGTTCGAGATGGGATAGAGAGAAGAAAACTATTCTATCACCTGATTGGTGGGCAAGCACACGAATGAGAGAAGACAAGACAACTGGAACACTACTCGATCTATTCCTGACTTCACTGAATTCAGATTAGTGTAAAAAGGTACATGAATAAATAAGTGAATAACCCGACCGCAACGTACAATAATTAGGAAAAATACAATTATGTCCAAAGTTGGGAATTACAGTAGAAAATAGGGTGCAAAATAATATGTTTAAATAACAATAGCTTAGGAACAGAAAAGGGTATGGCAGTGAATGATACATCGAACGAAAGCTTATATTCTGTAGAATAGATTAGGGACAAAAATAAATGTCAGTGTTTTACAAGCTTTGAATAACGTCCCGAAAAATAGCCTTCGTAGTTTGTCAGGGCTTCTTGTTTCCCGGTTCACATCACTTTTCTTGAAAAAAACATGCATACCGCCTGCATATTGTCATGTTTTACACCACCAAAGAATCTGCACTTATATTCAGCTTTAGTGCCCTGGAAACTCTCTTGAGCACTCATTACAGGAATTTTAGAATATTCACCTTGTCCTCATATGAAATTTCGGAAGCCTTGAATTCGGACTAAGCAACCGGTCAGCGCTTCCGTATTTTCACCGAATCGTCACAAAATGTAAAGAAAACTATTTGCACAATGTAAACTAACTTTTAAACAAACATTGAAATGTATGAGTACTCTTATTTCAATATTTAGTGTGTATTCATAAACGTGGTTCATTACAAATGGCATTCTTTTTACAACGCATCGGCTAAATTTTTTATTTACTTGAATAAGTGATCGCTATCATAGATATGAAGTAAATATTTCCTATTTAATCACTTCACTAACTTCAAAAACATTGACAAGAAACTTCATTGATTACTATAAGAACAAATATACTGGTCAGTTACTGAGTAGTAACTAGCAAAATGAATTATACTCATTATTGCTGTTGGAATTCTATAGACCAAACTACAGTGAAGTTATTAGTCTCAGTGATTCAACATTGTAATACACTTTATTTGATGTTGATTGTTTACAAAGAGGCCTGATTTTCATAGAGCTCTTTACTCACTGATTGGATAGTTTCATTGTAACTTCTGTAATTGTAATATAGAATGAATGTGTTTAATATCCTGAAAAACTCTACGTGAACTTTGTTAAAAAATCCAGGTAATTTTAATAGTTGAGATCATGAGTCAATTGAAGCTAAACCACCATGAAAAACCTGGAAGCACTGGACGGCCGTTTCGTCCTATTGTAGGACTCATGATCTCAACTATTAAAATTACTATAATATTCACAAAACCCTTTTCATACAAATTCCAGATAGCACACACTTGAATTTAAGGTTTACTACCAACGACCACTAGTCACTTAAAACAATTGAAGTGATTGTTTGCAGAAGTGACCAAATTTTGAAATCGGAAATGTAAACTACCGAGTCTTTACTTGATAATCTAAAGAGAAAATGCTCGTCAAGAGACTTGAATATTAAGTGGTATATCCAAATGTATAATATAAAATAATACTCGAACATGATATAGTGTTTATCTTTTGTTCATCAGTTTTCAATGGTTTTTCGGTTCATATCAATCTGGAATGAAGATAATCTCACATTAAACGAAATAAAATTCTGAAATTCAACTTTAAATTGACTTAAAATAATTGTGGATGTGTAATCTACTCGATATTGTTAGTCATCCAAATAGTAGGTAGATGTTATATAATACCAAGAGTTTAAAGAGTTAATAACCAGGCAGGCTAATGATCAATTCACAATAAACCATATAGATGATTTTTAAATGAGTTAACACTGTACACATTCGAGTTTATTCGGCAAATTTGCACAACGCTAGTTTTCTTATTTATTTAATGTGACTACTTATAAGTAGATAAAATAAGTTTAAATATTTATAACATTGATGTATGATTGTCTATCGATTAACTTCGAAAGGAGACCATTAGATAATGCATTTTTTTCAGATCCATGATCCATGAGATCATACATTAAATCTATTTGGTATTTATTCACTATATCATTGTTTTTATTTGTAATTCGATATGATAATTGTGTGGTGTTTATTCAGTATAGTATTTGTTTATTAATAATTTAGTGTAACATCCGTTCACTAGAAACATTCAACGTTAATTTCAATTGTGTTAGCGGAATATAGATTGGATTAATAAACTTTATGTGAGGGATTATGTTGAGGCGCGCTGGTAGGCTATTTCTTAACTAATCAGCGGTAGTGGACACTTGGATTAGACTAAAATCTTCTCGGGTAAAAACTGTAAATATACTAACGTTTCTACTATTGTGTTTCTTATTTTCATCTAGCTTTGTTATTTGGAATTTAATTTCGTCCCTGTTCAACCGTGTTCTGATTTGGGGACTTGTCGAGTGAATTAGTGTCCAAGAATACTAGGCAATAGGAATAGTTGGGTCGTAATAAGAGGAATTATAACAAAGTGGCTTAGTGTAAAATCCAGTTTTATCCCCATTATTTTAGTTATATAAGAAAATTCAATGACTGATAATCAGATTTCAGTGAATGATGTATATAAATGAGCATCTTGAATTAATGATTTGTGGTTGTTGTTTTTTTCAAGCTAAATAAAGTCTTCATTCCGCAGTCAGTTTTGTCTTCTTTCTTCTGTTGTTCATTCTCAATCTTTACGTCATCACTGTACACTTACGATTCTCCTAGAGATAGAATTCAGAATCGTTTTCTATTTTCATTCTGATTACAACGAATCTAGACCACTGAGTCAGGAATTTTAATCAGTCTGTGACATCGAGCGTCATAACTATTGAATAATACCATATGCATTGTAAAGAGGAGTCTTGGACAAAATAACTGCCCATTATTCTGTCTTTTTTCAACTGTTCATTAGCTATAGTTAATTTGTACTATTGATTAATTTTATTAATTAATAACCAATCTCATATATATCTAGTCATTTAGTGTTGATCGATTTTTATCGATCAAATCGTTATTTATTGATCAATCAGTTGTAAATAATTCATTCTTGTAAAAGATCAGTTATGGTCTAAGTGGATTAAGGGATCTTGTTGACTATTTTAAGGCATCTAAGAAATCATTCTGTGTAAAGAAAACCTTCCAAAAACTATATTGGAGTTTCTAGTCATTTTTTTTATTGTCAAAAATTAAATGATGCATCAGTTACTACTGATAAGTGTTATATAAGGTTCTTTATTCAAATATTTCATGTGTAAAGTAACAAAAATAGAAACAAGAACGCGTCAAATATTAAATAAATAAACTTATTAAACAAATCAATAACAGTAATTAAAAAGAAGGAATCAGGCTTATTTTTGTCATGGTGTATATTTATAAAACAAAAATCGAATATTATTCATAAAAGGTCAATCGGTATATTAAAGGTCATAGAAATAAAAAAAATTATCCTGTTTAAACAAATATAGTTACGAGATTAAACAAAAATTATGATTAGGATGAAAAAAACTAGTTGCCCCACACAAAATTGCTATCTTCGATAAATACTAACAATAAATATTCGATGATGATGATGATGATGATGATGATGATGATGATGATGATGATGATGATGATGATGATGATGATGATGATGATGATGATGATGATGATGATGATGATGATGATGATGATGATGATGATGATGATGATGATGATGATGATGATGATGATGATGATGATGATGATGATGATGATGATGATGATGATGATGATGATGATGATGATGATGATGATGATGATGATGATGATGATGATGATGATGATGATGATGATGATGATGATGATGATGATGATGATGATGATGATGATGATGATGATGATGATGATGATGATGATGATGATGATGATGATGATGATGATGATGATGATGATGATGATGATGATGATGATGATGATGATGATGATGATGATGATGATGATGATGATGATGATGATGATGATGATGATGATGATGATGATGATGATGATGATGATGATGATGATGATGATGATGATGATGATGATGATGATGATGATGATGATGATGATGATGATGATGATGATGATGATGATGATGATGATGATGATGATGATGATGATGATGATGATGATGATGATGATGATGATGATGATGATGATGATGATGATGATGATGATGATGATGATGATGATGATGATGATGATGATGATGATGATGATGATGATGATGATGATGATGATGATGATGATGATGATGATGATGATGATGATGATGATGATGATGATGATGATGATGATGATGATGATAACATCGGTCTTAGTCTGATAGTACGAATGTCTGCACTTCAGTCTTTATCTGACCTCTCATTGATTGTAAACTCAATCAATCATTAACTTTACCCACGTTAAGATTAGCACTCATGAAACATCAATTGTTACACTTTTTAATTGCTCAAATTGCGATAAGTTTGAACATCTCATGTTTTTTAGATCTTATTACTTATTAACGATACACAGTCTCAACAAATGGTATTTTGGCTTCTAAATATTCTCGATTAAATTCATAGTAATACTAGGAAAACAGGAAATTCTATTTTAGAGTCATATAGAGGAATCAAGCTCAACAGTGTTGGTCTGTTCTGAACTGTTCAAAGTTGTAGAACTGTATTACAACTCAATACCCGAATGTTATCATACTTGTCTGTTGTAGCCAGTGCGTATCACTGAGTATTCCGTAACAAAAATATAAACAGCTATTCATTGACCTCTGTGGTTCTCTATCTGACACCACTAGCGGATAAAAAATATCTTTAAATAATTGGATTACATTGGTATTCTTCTTTTTATTGCAGTGATTTTTGCTAACGTTTGAAGAAAGTTGACCATTTTGTGCATAGGTGTTATAACTAAGGAAACTGGTCATAGAACGGAATGAAACCAAAATTTGGGCAGCGCAGTGACGATGACAAAAATTAGTGGTGGGTAAAGGTTTTATTTACGCTTTGACAAACATGGTGACAACCACTTTAATCAAACACCACTCACTTAAACACAGATTTTACTGGGATTAGGTGATGAGACAACGAATACAAAACTGAAATAACAGAAGTACAAAATAGGATTGACAATGAATTGATACAAAACAAATGTTGTATGTTGTATTTAACGGATACCAGACTAAATTAAGGCACAAAAATGATAGATTTAACAAATATCACATTGAATTAAAACATGCTCTGATGTTCTAACCTGTTCTAACAATAAGATCAAGATCTCACGTTTCGCTATGGAATGATTACCAATCATTTTGTAATGTTTTTTATCACAATTAACTCATCTTTACAATAATCGAAGTGAAAATGTAACTGTAATTTCTCATATAAAGGCAATATTTAACGTGAGATTGCAATACAGTGACTCGATTTTTTTTAATTTCTAAAGAAATTCTCCAGACAGGTTGTACTTAATTAAATGATAGATTACCTGAAATTCCATTCATTCCCATACAGCGCATTATTATTTTCTTGTGAACTGTATGTAATCAATGAATTTATAAGGAATTTAGCATGTGTATCTACTATTGAATTGTTTAATTTAAGCATTTTAATAAAGGGGCCACTAAAGATTTAGTAGTATAGCCGTTTTATTGCCTTATCTATTTGTAGACCGAACTCATAGAAAGAACCAATCAATAGCGTAGTTGTCAAAATATCTTTAACAATTTTCACTTGTTTGAAGTTGAAGAAATCGCTGAACTCTTAGACAATTTTTGCGAACCATAATTTCAAAGTTTGGATTCTGTAGTGAGAATTAGGTAACTTCAGTTTTATTTCCTTGAAGAAGTTTGAACGAGATTGTAAAACGTGATGTTGATTTTCAATCGCTGAGATTACTTCAAGTATATGGTTATACATCTGATATTTATGCACTTGGAGCCAAATTTCTGCTAGACAAATTGTCTGAATTTTGACAAATGTTCATAAAAATCACTTAAACTAGATTTTGGTTCGGCTTAAAAGTTCTGAAGTAGACAGCCTAGGACATAATTCAATCTAACATAATGTAGAGATTCAATAGAAGGCTAGGTACACAAAAGACGTAATCTTTGTTTCGTTTCTCACTCATTCACTCAAACTTATGCTAAAGGCCAAGTTAATTTGCCTTTTAGTAACGTTAGAAAACTAGTGAAATAATTTATTAAACCGATAAAATGTCTAGAATTAGTTTAAAAAAAGTTGCTGATTATTGATTCTAGATAGAACCAGTGACAAGAGAACGAAGTGATATATCATTGATATTATGGAAAAAAGATACTTTGTTTTAGTGAACTGCCAATTGTATTCAAGAAGAAAATTGGTTTTATGATTGGCTATGCTTTACTTGTTTGTATTTCACTTACCTTTATAGTGACCTTGAGTACCAAATGTAGTCCAAAAATGAGTTCAGATAATGTCTGAATTATTAATTCAACTGGTCAAATAGCATTTCAACAAAAAGTATAACAGAATATGGTACGAAACTAACAACTAAGGCTTCTTATGGTACATTTAATTATTTAACAAGTATTTTACATGAGAGATTGGGGATGTTCGTTTGAAATTTCAGTATGTTATAAAACTGTCACAAGTAGATGGTTACGTTTCACACTTGTCCGACTGCATAATCGAGCGCATATTATTTGATCAAGAGTCGTTCACTACAGAACAGAACTGAAATAAGAGAATTGACAATGCGTTGGTACAATGAATTATCAATTTTCACGTTAAATGATTATCAATATTCCGGCTAACTGTCCCGCACCTTCACTCGAAAATTCAGAACATTGAACTTGGTTTAATCCTATTACATTGCCAATAATGAGATCCAAATATAAAAGTAAGAATTTAGGTATTGCGAAGATACTAGGGAAGCAACCGTATTTGTTGTCAGTTTTCATGTCGTCAGTGCGAATCCGCTCATATTACCAAGAAGTATTCTGCTTAATCATATCAGTCTCATGTTGAGAAGAGATCAAACGAGAGATTACGTTTTATTGGAATGTGATATTTATTTCAGTAATAATATTTGTTTGCATCAATAGCACCCAATACTTCTTTTGTACTAATTCAGTGGAAAATCCACTTTATCTTCCCGTTATCTTTCTTTCATCGTACAGAAAATCTCTATCTAGTTGTCAGTACCAGTTTTTGCATAACATATCAGTTTGGTACAATAATTACTAAAATAATGTTCAATTTGAAAAGTGAATTAACAATTATGAGTAGATTATTTAGGAGGATAGTTCGTGAATATTTAAGGTAATATTATTACGTAATATGACAGAGTTTATTTTTGGAAGTGCAGAAGGAAAAAGAGAACGTATGTGTTTAAATCACTGGATTTTGATTACCATTACTTGAAAAAGAAAAGGTCGAAACATTAAATTCATTCTTATCGTCAAAGCAGTTGAACGTTAACCACTGAATTGTTTTGAACACAAGGTCAGGTTTAAAGCTTCTTATTGTTATGGCATCTGTGAATATTAATAAGCTAGAACCGGACTGTTAATTGATCACTTTGAATGCATTCATTTGGTGAACATTATACTATGTGTGACCTAGTGAGTTAAAGTTACATGTCCTCTTCTTCGCACACTTCGTAAAACAAATTTCGTTATGTTACGTACTAATATTTTCTCAATTATTCTAGGACTATAATCCTAATTATAAAATAGCCCTTCAAAAGAGTTGAATTATTAACTTCGTTCGCATTCTAAGTAACCTATTCACTACTGACAATTCATTTTTCAAATTAAACATTGTGTTAACAATCGGAAATAGCTAAACATATTAGCTTGCTTACCCAGGACAGAGTTGGATGGAGAGTGCTGTTGGGCGGCTTATGCTCCTCCACGAGGAGTAACAGGCGTAAGTAGGTAAGTAAGCTTGCTTAAAGCTGAAGAGAAAACAATGAATTAATTGTATTCTGCAAATATTGTTGTTCTTACTTTGTTCAAATTTGTGAAGGGAGCCAATTGTTTGAAATATCGTACAATAATTCATTTATTCTATAATAGTATAATACATATTCTGTTTATAATTTTATTTGGCTTATTGTCTTAAATTCTCCTTCCTATTTTCTGTGTATTCATGAATGTTGTGAATTATGTAATCATTATTGAATACAAATTTATTTTGTGTATTTCTTGAATTGTCACCGCAAGCTTTTTGTTTATTGATTTTGATCAACATAAGCCTACTTTCCTTCACATTCTCCAAATAAAAATAACAATAAACTACTTGTAGCGTAGATAAGCATGCCAATAGTTGGATATTACGATGTCTCTTAACTATGTATAACCGAATCAGTAGATAGTTCACTGTTTCAAATAGTTAAGATATAATATACTGATGACCTTGGGCAACTTATCAGCCAGTCAGGAAACACTGTGTGGTTACAAAACAATTTACAATAAAAAGTTATGGAATAACGGTGGAATAACAACTTTTATCTGAATAATTAATCCTTACATGACAAATTATTTCTTCTAGTAAACGAAAAAGATAATTTTACATAATAAGAGTTGGGATAGTATTCTGAGTTGTAGTTGTCATTCCATAGGGTTCTCATTAACACATGACATCAGTTATAATGTAAAAAGGATAAGGCTAGATATTAAGGCTGGAGTTTCGAGTTAGGCTTGAAAAATAGGGTTGTAGTTTTTGTCACCGACTGAAATAAACTATAATGCAATTGTTAGCTACACTTCTGTTTATAAACTTAAGAAACTTAGGGTTGAGATATAGAAGAAGAGTTAGGAAGGGAAAATATTATATAGCTTCACCAAACACTCTCAACTACGCGTTGAATCACACTGAGCACTTTATTACACAATTTCCCTTGGGGACAGGTATGTTTTATCATTTAAGTTAGGCACCATCTTAAATTCACATTTTGATTGCACAATAGGTATTTTTATTGATTCTGAGCATTTTAACAGTTAATTGTTGTCAAATCTCATCTGATTCATAATAAGATACAAACTATCTATCACTGCACTTTAAATTTAACACATAATACATGAGGAATTATCTCCATCCTGATTGGTTAACTCAAGACCGTCAGTGTATTATACTTCCATCTTTCGAGTTCTTTTTCAGTGTAATTGCATACACATCATTAAGAATAACATTATTGTGAAAAAATAAGAATAACAATACATCAAGTTTAATTTAAATGGTCACATTTCTCAAACGCTTGTCCAACCAGCTATGTGAGTTCGAGGGTTGGAAAGTGATTAGAAAGCTGAAATTGCTAAGCCACATAATTCGAC